TCTTCCAGGGCTCTGCCACCCTCACCCCAAAGAAGTTCTTCCTCAGATTGGAGTGGAACTTCCCATGGTCCAGCTTGTGCCCGTTGCCCCTCGTCCTGTCACTGGGAACCACTGAAAAGAGTCTGGCTCCATCCTCCTTCAACCCACCCTTTAGATACTTGTCAGCATTACTAAGGTCTCCCCTCAGCCTTCTCTTCTCCAGGCTAAAGAGCCCCAGCTCTCTCAGCCTTTCCTCATCAGGGAGATGCTCCAATCCCTCCATCACCTTTGTTGCCCTACGCTGGACTCTCTCCAGCAGTTCCCTGTCTCTCTTGAACTGGGGAGCCCAGAACTGGACGCAGGATTCCCTACGCAGCCATACGAAGCTTCTCTTCCACTTCAAATTTGCAAGGCTGTACACGTGACCCATTGCTTCTTAATATAGCAAACATCAGTAGAAATTATATGTGCTCTCATGACCTGGCTTACACTTGAATCCAGAATTCTGGGTGAGAAATAACTGATTTTGATGCCTCATGTGACCAATGATATCATTCATGACTTTTTTACTCAAACACACTTGTAGCGTAACCCTAATTTTTTTATAGAGGTGGAAAAGCTCGTCTGGTTTTGTAGTACATAGGTTTATAGTATTGTCCAGCTTCCCAGGCTGGCATAAACATGTGTCTTACTGTAGCAGGGAAAATGGTTCACGGATGCTTTTGCTCAGTTCAAAGAACTCAGTGGAAAAGCTGAAGAGGCATGGCTGTGGTAAAAAATTGAAAAAAAAAAAGGCAAGAAGTAGAAACAAGCTTATGGTTCGTTGCTCTGGAGATCTTCAAGCCCCGCCTGGATGCTCCTGAGTGATGTTCTCTGGGCAGCTATGCTTTGGCAGGGAAGTTGGACTGGATGGTCTCTAGAAGGTCCCTTCCAACTCTAACAGTTCTGTGATTCCATGAAAATGCTAATCACAGCCTAAAATGCATGCTCCCAGAAGCCTTCAATAAACACCCTCAGCCTTTTGCCTTCTTGCGCCGTGCCCATATATAGATCCTGCGTTATAGGGATATCCTACAAATACCTCGTATTTTTCTCCCTGAACTTGTAACTCCTGTGCACACCTTACCGCTGGCAACAACCTGTGAGGCTATTAAAGAAGGTTACAGTGGGCTCAACCTGTTCCAGAGAGAAACACAAATAACTCTTTGCAACCCTAAATACGGCACCTTCAAGTGTGTTTAATTGCGTGTGCCTGCCTGAAAATCTGGCTCCTCCTTCTTCTTCCCATTTCTCGCTCCAGAGGGTCACTGGTGCCTGAAAACACTGGTGTGCCAAGGGAGCCAACTCCCTGTGGGAGCACGACTCCGCTCCACGCAGACATCTTCCCTTCTGTCGCTCGGCATAATTCAGTCTGTGGCTTGAAAATTCAAAATATAAACAAGAGAGAGGGACCGGGGCCAACAGCGTGGTGAGCAGACCTGTCAAACCTTCCCAGGAAGCGAAAAATACCTCTCCTCTAGAAACATCACCCCTTTCTCTCTTCTTTTTAGCTCAACCAGGACTATTTCTTTGCGGCTCGTAATTTTTGAGGAAATGGAAGCAAAAATACCATAATCAAACATACATGTATTAGACTGTGAAAATACACCGCTCAGTGCCACGCTGCGCCATACATCGTTAACAGGCAAGTTTCTCTCATCTCTTCCTGTGAATTGCTTATTTCTCTTCTCTTTCTTTCTCAGAATCGTTTCCTCCCATAGATTTGTTGTTCCTTAACACCTTTTAAATATAGTTAGGAAATACATAAGCCTGTATTTAAATATATCTTTCTTCCTGCTGCTCTCATCTTGTGTTACAAATGCAAGTGAAAAACCTTCAGTGCGTTTATGCGTCATTCTAAGGAGGAAAGAACCGTCCCCTGTCCCATCCTTTACCAGCTCCTGGTCATTCCCACGTCCCAGGATTCACAAAGTCACTGCAGCTTTGCAGGTTTTTGGTTTTTTTCCTGAAAATTGATAAATGACACACCTGAGCTAAACAAATGGAAAATACACCAGGAGCAAAGATGGACATCTTCTGAAAGCCAAATTTGAGGCGTTACCTTTCCTTCGGTTCCACATCAAACCCAGGGAGCGCTGACCCTCTCCCAGCACAGCCATGGACAGCAGGAGGCAGTAACATTAAGATGTCTCTGGAGTAGCTGCTCATCGAGGAGGCATCTTCGTCTTTCTCCAAGCAGAACACTTGGTTCTGCCCTGGACGGTGAAATCAGGAGATTTCTTGCTTAGGGTCACACTGCCATACGCGTGGAGAGTCTTTACTAACAGTTATGGCATCTCTCTCAGCAATTGCTTTGGTTATTGCTCCACCGCCTCTTTACACGAGCTGCTCTTCTAGTGCTCACCAAAGCCCTCCAAGATCCATTCAGAGCTTTTAATGCTTTCGTGACACGCCACTAGCAAGGCAACCGAGGGAGCAGGGAAGCAGCACCAAAACCCACTTGCTCCTTTGGCTCCTTCCTCTGTGCAGAGGACCTCTCGTCTGTGGTTTTAGACAAAGACACTAAATAAGCTCAATTTTTTTTTCCCTCACGTGCCCAGAGGCCCTGAAACAACCCAGTGCTGCTGATGGCTCCAGTGTCACTGCAGAGCCAGGTTTAGAAAGGTCAGACTCGCGCAGGCATTTTCAGGGAAGGGGCTTCATCTTTATAAGTGTTTGAATTTGAATCACAGAATCACAGAATCGTAGTGGTTGGAAGGGACCTCAGAGATCATCGAGTCCAACTACAAAAAAACCCAAAAAACCCCAAAAAAACAAAAAACAAACAAAAAAAAAACCCCCAAAAAACCCACCCACCACCTAAACACACAACAACTAATATTTAATGTTTCAAGTTAAGGAAAGCTGAGAATTTATGGGAGTGTAGAAGGGATGATGCCTTTAAGAGAATTATTAAACTAAATTAACAAGAGTGACAACTTCTTAACTGGAGGGAAAAGGAGGGAGTAGAATTCAATTAGAATTCAATGGAAGTTAGTACTCAGAATCACAGAATGATATGGGGTTGGAAGGGACCTCTGGAGATCATCTAGTCCAACCCCCTGCCAGAGCAGGGCCACCCAGAGCAGGTCCCACAGGAACGTGTCCAGGTGGGTTTGAATGTCTCCAGAGGAGACTCCACCACCTCCCTGGGCAGCCTCTTCCAGGGCTCTGCCACCCTCACAGCAAAGAACTTCCTCCTCAGGTTTAGGTGGAACTTCTCACATTCAAGTTTGTGCCCAGCTCCTCCTGTTCCGTGCTAGCTAAAGAGTCAAAAGATCCGTTCTAGCATTTTTTTAGTGAAATGAGTTTGAGGAGGAAAGAAGAAAACATTTATCAGTGTTCAAACATGATGCTGTAATAAATGAGTAGTTGTCATTTCTTGAAAAGAAAATCCAATCTTAATTTTAGCATTCCCAGTGCCGGGGTCTTGCATGGGTGTGGGCAAGGTGCTGGAGTGGTTCATTTTGGCCTCTGCTATTATATTGTACCTTATTTCTAATTTGAATGATGTCCAATTTGAGCTCACAGGCATTCATCCTGTCATACATTGATGATTGTAATAAAAGCCTGTTATTACCAAATTTTATTCCTATATGCAGTCATTAACTGAAGAGCACAGTCTGCAGCGCTCACAGGCTGTTCAAGTAGGGACAAGCACCCTCTTTACAACCTTCTTTCCTGTGGTTTTCTCCAGCACGGGGGTGAGGTGAAGGACGACAGGGCCTTGTGGGGGAGAGGCCGTGGTGCTGGGCTTGTACTTGCTAAGGGATCATATTTAAACCTGAGGTCCCAGAGTGACACATACCCCTCAGTTCATAGAATTACAGAATCATAGAATAGTTCAGGTTGGAAGGGACCTTATAGATCATCAAGTTCCAACCCCCTGCCCTGGGCAGGGACACCTCCCACCAGACCAGGTTGCTCAAAGCCCCATCCAGCCTGGCCTTGAACCCCTCCAGGGATGGGGCAGCCACAGCTTCTCTGCGCACCCTCTTCCAGTGTCTCACCACCCTCACAGCAAAGAATTTCTTCCTGGTATCTCATCTAAATCTCCCCTCTTCCAATTTAAAACCGTTACCCCTTGTCCTGTCACTCCACTCCCTGACAAAGAGACCCCCCCCAGCTCTCCTGGAGCTCCCTTCAGATATTGGAAGGCTGCTCTAAGGTCTCCCCGGAGCCTTCTCTTCTCCAGGCTGAACAACCCCAGCTCTCTCAGCCTGTCCTCACAGCAGAGGTGCTCCAGCCTTCTAAACATCTCCGTGGCCCTCCTCTGGACCCGTTGTAACAGGTCATTTGGGCTTTCTTATGTTGGGAACTCCAGAGCTGGACACAGTGCTCCAGGTGGGGTCTCACCGGAGCAGAGCAGAGGGGCTGGCAGACACTCCAGAGGGCTGTGCCACCTTCCCTGAGAATAATTACCTAACACACCTTTTCAAATGAGCTGGTTTATTTTAGTTACACCGGAGATAACGGTGCATGAAGACCAGCAAGGAAAAGACTGCTTGTAGGGTGCTTGCTCAGTGACATTCCTCCACTTTGGGGATTAAAACCATTTATTTTAAACCAGTAGGTTTCCTCTTCCTTTGGTGCTGTCCCTGTGCTGGTGAGCTGGAGAGTTGGAAATCCTCCTGGTTAAGTGCCAACTTCGCAGAAATAGTTTGAGATGAAGAAGAGCCAGACAAGGGAACAAATACAGGGGATTCTTCGAGACAACTTCTGGAACTCTTTCTCTTTTGTAGCAAGATGACCCTGGATAGTGTAGTAAGTTGAATCAACTTTTTAAAAAAAGTAGGAAAAAGGAAGGAATGATGACACCAGCACACCAGTAACCATTCTCCCTATTTTCTGCTGTAGGGCAGCTACACCAGTACATTTTATCCTCCTCTACCTTGTATTTTGACCCAGCAGATTTCCCTGATTTTGCACCCGTGTGGGCTGCCTAGAGCTAACTGTGGCCTTTCTTCTTTGAGGTTTTGTAGGAAGGTTCATGAAGGCGATGCCTGCACCCGTATCCTGCATGGATACATCCATCCTTTCCATGGATACGCGCGTGGAAACCTGCCATCCACACCAAAAACCTGCGTAGGAGCTTCACTTGCCCAGCAGCGCGGACAAAAAAGGTTAAGAACTTGAGGGTTTTTCTATTCTGCAAACAAAAGGAAGTTCGTTTCCTCTGTTAGCTCACCGTGGCATTATGTGCAAAAAACAGGCCTGGAGCTCTTCAAATACTTTCACTTATTTCTGTACCTACCCAATTTATTTATAGAGCCATCTGGAAAACACTGGCTTTTCATTTACAGGATACTATGGAGCTTTTTGGAATCGTTTCATAAACCAAACTCTTTAGAAACACACACCCACACCTACAGGAATCGTCAGCTAATCAAGTCTCGGGACTTTTGGGGTTTTTTTGGTGTATTTAAGGAGTATTGTCAGGAGAGTTAAACCTGCTGTATTAATGCATAAATAGGTATTTCTCCATATACTTAACTTTACCACGTTAATAAATCCAGCAATGGGCAGATGTGTCCACCACATTGCACATCCCTGTGAGAAACCACAAATGCTTTGGTGATGTCTCGTTTTGATGCAGTCTCGGGGCATTCTATCAGGTTATAAAACAAACGGGAGCAAATTCTTAAATGAAATGCAATAAAGATGTAGACTTAGAACATCTAGTAAGGTGAAAACCAGGAAAAAACGTGTGTCCTGGACGGTGGGAAGAGAAAGGGAGGGAAGAGAAAGGGAGGGAAGAGAAAGGGAAAGGGAAGCATAGAGGGAAGAGAAGCTGCAGATGCCACCGAGTTTGTTCTCACCCAAACAACTGCGAGTTACAGTTCACTCACTGTCTAGGCATCCTGGCCATAAACCACAACAGAAATGTTAAAAAAATAACAGTAATAAAAATAAATCAGGATTTGGGCTTATTTGAGCCAAGATGTTTTAACAAAATGCCACCATTCATTCCTGGGGCTGCACTGGGATGCCTGTGTGCTCCAATTCCATTCCTTAATTGCCTTCGTGCCTTCTACTGTTCACAACAGTTAGGGCTCAATAAACAACCCAACCAGAAGAATTATTTTAACAACCATTTCATCTTCTTGCCACTCCAACAACAAACGTATATAGACAATCACCCAAGATGTTTACGATTACCTTGTTAACAGCTCAATATCTAGAGGCGTTCCCTCTGACCCCTGCGTCATCAGATATCTTCATTTACCAAAACAAGGTTGTTTTATAAAACGCTCATTTCTTTGTAGTCAACATGAGGTTGTCTAGTGCTGGCCTCAGCTGGGCTTTGGTTTGTGGGGTGTGAAGCACAAACACCATCCTCGCTGATCCAAGACACCGTTGCTCTTGATGGGTACTGTCTCTGCCGGGCTGGTGTGACCACAAGTAGATCTAACGTTGAAACGTACGACTGCTCAGCATCTCAGTGCTCGTTTGGTAGCATAATTGTTAAATTTACATGTTAAAATCATCAAGTTTTATTGAGAACTTCAACAAAGGCCAGTGCAGGGTGCTGCACGTGGGGAGAAATAACCCCCTGCACCAGGACAGGTTGGGGGGGACCTGCTGGAGAGCAGCTCTGAGGAGAAAGACCTGGGAGTCCTGGAGGGCAACAGGATGGCCATGAGCCAGCAATGGGCCCTGGTGGCCAAGAAGGCCAATGGCATCCTGGGGGGCATCAGGAAGAGTGTGAGCAGCAGGTGGAGAGAGGTCATCCTGCCCCTCTGCTCTGCCCTGGGGAGGCCCCATCTGGAGCACTGGGTCCAGTTCTGGGCTCCCCAGTTCCAGAAGGACAGGGAACTGCTGGAGAGGGGACAGCAGAAGGCTACAGAGATGATGAGGGGCCTGGAGCATCTCCCTTTCAAGGAGAGGCTGAGGGACTTGGGTCTTTTTAGTCTGGAGAAGAGAAGGCTGAGGGGGGATCTGATCAATGCTGATAAATACTTCAAGGGTGGGTGTCAAGAGGATGGGGCTGGTCTTTTTTTCAGTGGTGCCCAGGGACAGGACAAGAGGAAATGGGCACAAACTTGAATGTGAGGAGTTGCACCTAAACCTGAGGAGGAACTTCTTTCCTGTGAGGGTGGCAGAGCCCAGGAAGAGACTGCCAAGGGAGGTGGTGGAGTCTCCTTCTCTGGAGACATTCAAACCCGCCTGGACATGTTCCTGTGGGACCTGCTCTGGGTGGCCCTGCTTTGGCAGGGGGTTGGACTAGATGATCTCCAGAGGTCCCTTCCAACCCCATGGGATTCTGTGAAGTCTATTAAGACGACCTTTTTTTAAAGCGTGGCACAGCAATTGCTAGTCTGTTTATACATGTTCCTACCACAAATCTACAAACTTTTGAAAAAATACTGTACCTCAGCAAGGAATCCCCTCTTTCTCCTGATCCCTCATTTCTCAGTCCTGAATTGAATCCACCCTCACAGCAAAGACTTTTTTGGTAGTATCTAATCTAAATCTCCCCTCTTCCTATTTAAAACCACTACCCTTCATCCTATTGCTCCACTTCCTGACAGAGTCCCTCCCCAGCTCTCCTGTAGCTCCTTCAGGTGTGGATTCAATCTTTCTCAATGTTGTCTGCAGCAGCGTGTCGTTGGCACACGGTGTACTCACAGGTATCCAGCTCCATTAGAAATTAGGAAATCCTGTATTAAAAACATCCAGAAAAGAGAATTGTGGGTCTGTATTTGCGCTTCAGCTTTAGTCTAAGATCCTTTCCAGCCTTAACGCTATCGAGTGTGCTACCTGGGGTGGATTGCGAGTTCCTTGGACCTTCTTATTCTCCCACTTTCATTAGACTTCCCCAAACGATGGTTTTAAATTAGCGCTGAGAACTCTTGAACTCCTCCCAGCGCTTTTCATTGCCAGTTCTCAATGCCTGCGGGAACAGCCCGCTCAGGTACCACCTGTAGGGGATTTTAGCAGGATCAGATCTTTATTCAGAACATGAGAGAATACGACTGAAATGAATATTGATTTGAAAATGTAATTACGTTCCCATAAAAATACTGGTGCCAAGATTGCAGCAGGAATATGCAGGATAATATTTCATCATTCAGTTCCCAGAAAAGTAAATATACTTTGGGAATACAGATTTGGAAGTATCTAAAGAGGTGAGGACACAAGACTGGAAGAAAAGCACATGATGGAACCCGAGTAGGACAGCCCACCAGGAGAGCAGGCCGAGGCCAAGGGGTCAGCAGAGAGACCCCCACTCCACTCCCATCAGCCCCCAGTTTACAAACTGGTACAGAAAAGGGAAACGGACACCACCAAATTACCAAAGATCCTCACAATTAGCTGTGAGGTTACCTGCAAAAAAATCCTGAGAAGGAGCCAAGGAATAGAGCACTAAGAGACAGCTGTAAGTTCACCTCTAGCTGTTATCCCCACACTCACTTTGCCCTTCCTTTTTTCCGCGAAACCCCCAAATCCCTGGGGTCCCGCAGGGGAGAGGTAGCGGCGCTGGCTGGACCAGCGGCTCTTCTCGCTGCCAGCAGAAGTTAAGAGGATCCAGCCCCCGTGAGCAAACACCTTCTGCCTCTCTTCCACGCTTCGCTGCCAAATTGTTCATCTGGCAGACAAACAGGAACTGGCTTTTATGCTCGAAGGGTGTTTATGTCTCCCATAATTTAGTTAAGGTCCCGTCCTGCTTCCATCCAGCTCAATAATAAGCCATTACACTTACATCGAAGGCAGAGGGTCCGACTCCTTGGTTGAGGAGCTTCTGTGGACAGACCCCGCTCTCAGAGGGTCGGGCAGGGGTCAACCTCCCCTTTCAACCTCCCTCTCTCTGCCCCCCATCACCCACCGGGTGTAATACGAGGGGCAGAGCCCGGCAGCCTATGCACGGGACAGGGGAGCTTATGGGGGAAAGGGACAGGACTCCTTCCCCTCCAGAAAAGCAGACATTAATACATCATCATCACCTCAATTCTTTCAGTTGGACAAAAGCTCTGCTGAAAAAATTGACACTGCAATTAACCCCATCCCTCCTGAACTCCCCTAACGGGCAGCTCCCCACCACGCAGGGTGCCCTGTCACATCACCCGAGGGGCAGCTATGGCAGCGTGTGGGCACCCGGCTTCTGACGCCTTTACAAGCCTATTGCCCACCCAGCAGGGACACCTCCCACCAGACCAGGTTGCTCCAAGCCCCATCCAGCCTGGCCTTGAACACCTCCAGGGATGAGGCAGCCACAGCTTCTCTGGGCAACCTCTTCCATGGTCTCACCACCCTCACAGTAAAGAATTTCTTTCTGGTATCTCATCTAAATCTCCCCTCTTTCAATTTAAAACCACTACCCCTCATCCTATTGCTCCACTCCCTGACAAAGAGTCCCTCCCCAGCTCTCCTGTAGCCCCTTCAGATATTGGAAGGCTGCTCTAAGGTCTCACTGGAGCCTTCTCTTCTCCAGGCTGAACAACCCCAGCTCTCTCAGCCTGTCCTCACAGCAGAGGTGCTCCAGCCCTCTGAGCATCTTTGTGGCCTCCTCTGGACCCGTTCCAACAGGTCCATGTCCTTCCTGTGTTGAGGACTCCAAAGCTGGACACAGAGCTCCAGGTGGGGTCTCACCAGAGCACAGCAGAGGAGCAGAATCACCTCCCTCACCCCGCTGGCCACGCTTCTTTTGATGTGGCCCAGGATGCAGTTGGCTTTTCCAGATGGTTGGCCAAGAGAAAGCTGCCATTCCTTACACTGTTTCACCATATCAGCATCTTTGCTAATTAACATTTCAACATAGAAACATGAAGATCTGTCCATATGAATACATGGGACATACACCGTATACAATTTGGCCACAAAATAGCTTACAACTGACAACTGACTAAATAAATTTCCCCTAGAAATTAATTCATGTTTTTAGATTTGTCAAATAATTTCCACCACAATCCCAAGCGTGGCTAAAATCGTACATTCTACTATAATAATTGCTGAAATCCCCCACTGACTATAAGATGTAATCCTGAGACAGCTCTTACCTGAACAGAAGGAAGCAGTAGAACGGGTACCCCGAGAGGAGGCGGAGAGTTGGTATTCAACGGGAGCAGCCCTTACACACAACGGGTTCCCTGGCGTCACACTTGGGTAGTCTGCCTAGATTTTGCTTTTCATTTACTGGGGAAAATAAGATCTCGGATACCGCTTCCAGAATTAAAGCTTCCCCCCAGGGTTCAACAATTCACACAGCGACCACTTCTGAATGTCTGCTACTTGCGCATAGTTTCAATTACAGAAGTTTTATAAAGGTCAAATATGTTTCTTAACATCGCTGGAGCCAACTCTGACAGACATCAGAACTAACCAAAGAGATTAAATCCAGCCAGAGAAGTCAACCTGCCTAATTTCAAACCTATTATTATTTATACGATTACATATGCATTCTGCCTGCGCTCTGCGGTCTATGAAACAGTGCTGGCAGTTTATAAAATGCAACGCTAATTACTCGTTAACACGTGGTTTCCATCTATGTTTCTTTTACGGGTTTTAATCTGAAATTAAGTCAACACAAAAGAAAAAGAAAACAACAAAGTATTTGCAGAGGCAAGACAAGGCTGTCTCCTGGCAGCTGCTGTGCTTTTGCAGAATTTCAAGATACCTACGTGCATTTTTCCCCTTCCACTGCTATTTAAATTAGGTATGTAAAAGGGAGAAATCAACACTTTGGGGAAAGGCATGGCTTGAACTGTGGTAGATTGATACCTAACGAATCGATATCCAATTCAGAAACTAGCTAAGAGAGACGGCTTGCAGACTTCAGGCACTTCAGGACCAGAACTCCCATCTCTGCTGATACAATTCAGACCAAGTTGGCAGAATACAACAGAATCTCACTCAACAGACACTTGAAATCAAGCAGAGGCAACCGGCAGCTCCCTCGCTGTCAAAATTGGCTTCAAGAAGCGGAGCATCACGCAGGCCCCCTGACCTTACTCCACTGAGCGTGTCAAGACAGCGGGAGAAGAGTGGATAAACACCTAAAAAGCAAGTTACATATCATACTTGCAATGAAATACGTCTTAAAATAATACTTTAGTTGCCCACCTCCAACTATAAATACTGAACCAAGTCAGGCTTGTGAGAGCATTACGGTTAATTCAAAGGGATCCGAAGCTTTTGGTCAACTCAGTTATAAAACTTTGAATTCCCCACAAACAGGCAATAACGAAGTAATTTGAAGTAATTTGAAAAGCAACAGATGGGGATGTTGGGTGTAGCTTGAATTGAACACAAGTAATAATAATTTTTAAAAAAACTAGAGAAACGTGATTTTTAAATTGAAGCTGAAGTTTAAACTGAACTTTTAAATAACCAGCAGTAACAAAAGCAAGCGAATCATCTTAATTATCACCCAGAGGCAGACCCAAAACAAGTAGCTGTGGCTGAAGGACATTGACAGTTTGTTTCACGTGGAAAATTGATTCTTCTTGTTGAACAGGATTTCTTTCCAGAGATGAGGAAGACACGTTCAGCCCAGCTGTAACCACACACTACAGGTATCTTTCATACTTTGGAAAGTGCTTCTGAACTCCAGGCTAATCCTCTGAACTGGAGACTCAAAACTTGGTTTGAACTCAACTGTTTCAGAAGTACAGGGCAATTTTTTACACTGCTTAATAGGTATTTGATGGAATACTAAACCAAAGCTCTCCTAGAGAGATGTCCAAGCGTAAAACCTTCTCTGCAGAGAGAAACATAGAGACATACACTAACCTCTAAAAGGTTTTGTTAAAGTCTTCTCATGTTGCTCTGTTACCCCGTAACGACCGTCTCAGAAGGCAGTGTTTCATCCTGGGTTTTGTAACGTTGTCACTTACCGTGTGACACTACCTTATTGCAAATGCAGGATTTGGGATTTTAAGCACCACTGGTGTAATTACAACTATCAATTTCTAACCCACTGACGATCTTCCCAGTCTTCCAGACATACCCCTCCCTGAGACGCATTTTTCAGGAGAGAATGAAGCTGCTTGCAAGATTCTGGGGTATTTTCGCGCAGGAAACCTGCCCTATAAACCACCAGTTTAACAGATCTCATACACTTCCAAATCAGCTGCTTGGAATCCCGTGTTCCCGTTTGCTGGAACACATTTGTATCTTTGCTATGAAAAATATGGCTCCATCGACTGCTTCTTTATGAGCTCGTTATAAACCGGCGATAGGACAGCGCAAAACAGTCCGTGCTTTCCATTTCACCAAGGAGTAATTCCCCCAGGCACTAAGACGCGACAGAAAATCTTTTAATATATTGAGCCATTTCATTAAGTTCTCTGTAAAGGAGGCAAAATACAGCATGAAATACAAAAGCTTTTCAAACACGCCACGGAATTTTGGTGGGAAGGTAACAACTTTTGCAAGTCACAGGCTTATATTGCGCATTAAAAATGTTGGCTGAGGCGTTAAATAACCACTGAAACATTTTTATATAAGATTTCGGATATATTGGTCAAGAGCGAGCACAAACATTTACTTTTTGCTGATTAATATTAGCAATGTAAAAAAAAAAAAAAAAAGAAAAAAAAAAAAAGGATTTTTTTTGGTGGGGAAAAACATGTTAAATAACCACTGAAACATTTTTATATAAGATTTCGGATATATTGGTCAAGAGCGAGCACAAACATTTACTTTTTGCTGATTAATATTAGCAATGTAAAAAAAAAAAAAAAAAGGAAAAAAAAAAAGGCATTTATCTGGTGAGTGAAACACATTCCCAGGTAGAATTCAGGCACCGTAGTTCTTTCCACATGAAGCCCCAAACAAAACCTGGCCAAGTGCTGCCTGAGAGATTATACACCAGGAAAACTCTCCTCAGCAGAGACCCCCACTTCCAGATTTTGACTTTTTCCCAGTTTTGAGGGAGCTGTTGTGAACTCTTACTCTCTTCTGCACGGAAGAAGCAATCTTCATAGAGGCTTTCTTCGCAAGGCACCTTTCCACACCTCCGGGTTTCCATAGCAACAGCTGAGCATCCTCTCCACCCGTCCACAGAGACTCATCCCTCAGGCTCCAGCAGAAGGAGCGGACGGTGGCAGAGTGTCCTCCACGAAGGGTACCCACCAGGCTCAGGCCATCAGCACCGCAGCTGAGGAGGTGAATGTTTCCTGTGGATGTTCCCCCAATAAGAAAGAGTTTGTCCACCTTTTCGTGGTACAAGCCACCTACCAGATAATGCAAGCCGTCCTTTTCCAGGCAGACTGCATCTCTGACATCCAGAACACGCAACAGGGTTATGGGTTCATCGGTATCTAACCGAGCAATGTCCCACCAACAAAACCCCTCATCATGTGTCACACAGTAGACCTGTTTATAGTCCTTCCCGGACCAGCCAATAAAACTTACCGATGAATCCGAATTGCACGTTGATATCAAAGCGTCATCTTCATTATCCTTGTTGATGTCGAACACATTAACCAACCCATCGGTTGACCCAGAAACCACCAAATTGGGTTCGATAGGATGGAAACAAATTTTGGTGATATCATCATTGTGACTTTCAGAATAGACTCCCAAGGGTTCTTTAGTTGCGCTGGCACAGTCTGTGACGCCTCTTGCATCCCAGAACACCAGAAACGTGTCCTTTTCAACTTTTTCTGTTCCAGCACAAATGATGAGGTCACTGTAGTTGATGTCAAAACTGATGAAAACGTTGGAAGGATAGCCACTGAATACCTGCACGGCTTTCTGAGTCGCTAAACGAATATCCCAACACTTGACGGTACCATCGCTGCACGCTGAGAACACTACGCTGTCACACGCGTGTGCAAATCTGACTCCGTTAAGTATCCCAGGAGGGGTACTGTACTCCCGCAGGAAGTTTAATGTTTCCCTGTTATATACCCTGATGGACTTATTGGAACACGAAACTGCCACAAAGCGAGGGCTTTCGGATTGAGCGGGTTTGGAAACATCTATATCCAGCAAATAAGCAGGTTCCTCACTCAGCACGGAACGTTTTGCTATGCGCAGACCTGCAAGCTGCTCCTCAATCTTCTCCACTGCAGTCATCTCAAACGCTGTTCCTAACATTGTCAGAAACCTGGGATAAATAAAAGCCAAGGTGAGTTTTAATTATAACATTCTGAAATCACAGAATCACAGAATGATATGGGATTGGAAGGGCCCTCTGGAGATCACCCAGTCCAAGCCCCTGCCAAAGCAGGTCCACCCAGAACAGGTTGCACAGGAACGTGTCCAGGTAGGTTTGAACGCCTCCAGAGAAGGAGACTCCACCACCTCCCTGGGCAGCCTCTGACAGGGCTCTGCCACCCTCACAGGAAAGAAGTTCCTCCTCAGGTTTAGGTGGAGCTTCTTACATTCAAGTTTGTGCCCATTTCCTCTTGTCCTGTCCCTGGGCACCACTGAAAAAAAGACTGGCCCCATCCTCTTGACACCTTAAAGGGTTTTAAGTATTTATAAGCATTGATCAGATCCCCCCTCAGCCTTCTCTTCTCCAGACTAAAAAGCCCCAAGTCCCTCAGCCTCTCCTCGTAAGGGAGATGCTCCAGGCCCCTCATCATCTTTGTCCCTCTCCAGCTCTGCTGTCCCCTCTCCAGCAGTTCCCTGTCCTTCTGGAACTGAGGGGCCCAGAACTGGACCCAGTGCTCCAGATGGGGCCTCCCCAGGGCAGGAAAATAATGTTAGCTTTAATAATATATATATGAAAAAGCATCTTGCACAGAGATAATGCATGAAGTCAAAATTCAATTATCCTGATGTTCTACCCGCTACAACTTCAGTTACAGAAACAGAGAACCGGAAAGGGCTCCACGAGTTCAGGTGTTCAGTCTCTTGTGACTGTAAGCACTACATCCCATAATCCCCTTAAAAGATTACACAGTCTGTCTGTGAGCCCTGTGAAAGTCACTTAGCTAAATTTGCTTTATTATTCTTATGAAGTAAACAGTAAAGTGATGTTCTCCACCAGTGGAGAGAAAATGAAGTCATCACCACTACCTGAGGAGGAATAATTTTGATTCTAAAAGGTTGCTAGGAGGCACAGCCCACAAAGAGTTGCATCAGGTGAGTTCTCAGGTGAACTTTCCTGCCGGGGGACACACAAAGGGTAGGCAGAGAAGAACAAGACCAAAATTATGTAGAACTACAGCCCGAAATGGCCAGATGAGATAACATTTACAAGTATTTAGGTGCCCAACAATGCACATCACCACCTGCCAGCATACCACAGACCACCTCAACAGGCTACATGATATCAGTAAAATTCACTGGAATTAACCACCTTTGCCAATTCTCCTAAGACACTAAATGTTTTTTGAGCCTCCTGTAAAACCACGATGCCGGTTCTTAGTGCAACTGATAAAAATCAGTTCCTCTGCAGGGAATGCCGAGGCAACTCTTCTCTGGCCGTACTGAACCCTCCTGGAAACCCATACTAGTTCAGCAATGTACACAAATTCAGATTTTAGCAAGCAAAACCCAAATTAAACAGCATTTCCTCAATCCTTTTGCACATAGGTTCACTTCTAAAAAACGGATATATACATGTATACACACACAGAGATTCGCTTCTATAAAATAAGAAAAGAAAAGAATTCTCTCCTTTCTGGAACACAAAGGAACATTCAATTCTCTAGTTGCAGTAAAGGCTTTCATCAATTTAGAGTAAGAAAAAAATACTGAAGCGTTTAAATTTAAAGGAGATATTTGCCATCACAAACAATACGTGGTTTTAGTGAGTTCACAAAACTAGAATCATTCCTGAAAGAAGAATGGAGGTGGGGTACATCAAAAAAGCATAAACATCCACATGAATGACTTCTGTTAAAATTACAAGTTCCATTAGACTATGCTTCTGTGTTTAAAAAAAACACCCCAATCATTGAAAGAATCAGATTCTTTCTATCTTTCAATCAATTCTAGGGGGTCAACACTCCAGGGTAAAGCAATAGTCAAAAATGTCCTTATTTCCTTAAGGACTAGGCCTTCAGAATCCTAGGCCTTAACCCAATCCGAGTTACCACATGCATGAAAGTGTCTTTGTTTGTTTGTTTGTTTTTTAAATCCAAACAAAAATGGAGTAAAAAAATCAAGCGGATCCAGGATGCAAAAAAATCTTCTTGTGCCTCCCCAGCTGTCCCATTGTAAATTTTTCTGCAAATTCTTCGGGCTGGATTTTTAGAGACGGAACGAACAAGTTCCCATGTATTACTTGTTTTAGGGTAATTATTTTAACAGTCCATGAGAGACCAGCAACAAAGGAAAAGTTGCTATGACAAAACTGCATTCTGCCTTTTTTTTTTTTTTCTTTCCTCCCCTTCTTGGTGGTGTTTGTAGTTTCAGAGCTTTGTTTTCCGTCCTCCGGTTTGGTACATACAAATATTCACAATGCTATAGGACAAACAAGCAAATTCTTAAAAAACAGCCTAAGCAGGCACACTCCTAAAAGCTTAATTCCCAAGTCACAAATAACCTCACTAAGCTATTTGCCTCACTAATATCCCAACAATGAGGTCCCCAGGTTAATCTTCTACATCAAAGCAACCTTTCGGAGCACATCTACAAGTAATTTCTGCCCTAAGAGGCAGACATCCTGTGGAAACTCCTTTCCCCTCTAAAGAGAAGAGGTTCAACATGTTTTCTGGCATCAGCCTGCACACAACCCTTCCCACACAGCTCGCTCCCTCCTTACTCTTCTGGTGTGTCCTCAAATGGAACAAGCTTTTACTAGAATGATTACAAAAAGCCGGCTGTGCTCACACCCTGCTCGCTACACCGCTCAAACACAAAACTCTTCAACTCCCATGCAAATTATTAACTTAAATTTAAGAAATAAAATACTTCATTATTATTATTATTAAGGACAACTTCTACTTAATCCAATTTACTGAAAAATTACAATGGAAGCTTCTATTTAAATGACATGCTTGAAGGTGGAGAAAGGAGTTTTCATAAAGCAGCTACCCTGTAGTGCTATGGTTACTAAAAAAAATTGCGTTCTCTCTGTAAACTATTGTAAGAAAAATGTAGTTTTCCAGACTGACCTGAATTTCAAGCTCTAAATATTCAGAGTTTTTCTACTCAAAAGGCCAAGTAAACTCAAACAGCCATGTTCCTGACAAATGTCATCCATTTGGAAGGCAAGCTGCAGTTGTTTAAATATTACTGACTTTGATAGAGAATATTATTCAATAAGCAGTTTCTACAACACTCATGTCAGAGCTTTTAGTGCTGGGGAGGGGAGGGTGAGGGAACTCCACAAGTACCCAAAAGTTGTAAAGAGCCAGAGCCTGCAAAAGCACGTTCATTCAGATTTAATAATATTTTCTGGGAAATAAAATTAGCCCAAGATAGCTCTTAAGCTTTTACCCCTGAATGACACAGGTACAGCTATTCTGAAATACCAGAAAATGCTGTTCATGTTTCCAGATAGTGTGCAATTTATATCATTAGGAAGCTGGAGGGTACGGTTTTCAATTCTATTTCCACCGCGACAACTAAGAAGCCTTAAAATTGCATCTGATGGCAGCCAGGTTTTTGCTAAAAACTCAGTAAAATGTCTGCTCCAGTAAGAAAGTCTTCAGACTATTATGAAATTGTGATTGAAGGTTATATAAACAACTCCTGCTCAAACATCAGGGTGTAGCTGCCAGCCCTTCCTTTTCAGAAGGGGAAGTCACTGTTGTATTTTGATGGGAAAGTTTAAATGGCAGGAATAGGATCTGTGTTAAATTTATGAGACAAATAGGAAACAATGGTCTTCCAAACACAATAGAAGATAACTATGCGTTGGACTACAGCCACCTACAAAGCACATGGTGCTCTGTGCTGCAGAAGCGAAGCACGTTTCGTTCAGCGCTCCTTTGCCAATCTCTTTTGTTGTGGTCACCAGGAATCCTTTGGCAAGTCAGGATCACAATCTGAATAAAGCACAAGTGCCAGTCGCTGTGATCAATGAGGAAAACTGCTCACGCTCATGAGAAAAATGGCCCCACACAAAGACTTTGGAGGGCACAGACAGCTTGCTCTCGAACTGTTCCAGTCTCAGAAGAAATGGCAGAGATAGCACTGGCCAAAAACTTTTTTTTGCCCAAGGTATCTCCTTTGCATGGGGTAAATATTTAAATTCAGGTTGTTCACTTACTCCAACTCACAGTGGCCCACAGTCTGGGTCATAGAATCATAGAATGGTTTGGGTTGGAAGGGACCTTAAAGATCATCTAGTTCCAACCCCCCTGCCCTGGGCAGGGACACCTCCACCAGACCAGGTTGCTCAAAGCCCCATCCAGCCTGGCCTTGAACCTCTCCAGGGCAACCTGTTCCAGTGCCTCACCAGTCTACAGTCTCAACACAGACAAAATCCAGGTGATGCTAAGGTGCCAGGAAAACCCCACCACTTGGATGACACACAAGTATCTGGCTTTGGCTAGTCCCTTGTGTTTGAAAGAGAAGTCCAGTCCCACCATCAGTGATCACCATCCCTCCTATGTAACAACTGCACCTCTCGTCTGCATCCCCAGAACAAGATAAAGCCACCTTCTACAAATTAACCCTGAAACTTCTGTGTTATTGTATCTAGCCTCCAGAAGGACATCCACGTGGTGTTTCCTATGAATTAACTTCACAACTGTGAAGTTGTGCAATGCAACCCCTGCACGTCTCCTTGAAATCACAACTACCAGAGACAATAAGCTTCCTGAGGGACGCTCAAAACTCATGAAATCTTGGGAATTCAGAATAAATACAGTACTCTGAAATAACCTAAAACATCCCGGCCTCTAGGGCATCCTACAAAGCTCCTTTAGAAAAGAAATAAGTTTGATTTTTAGAACAGAAGACACTAAGCAGAAGGGATGCCAAGGAGGAAGGGTAGGATTTTCAGAGGCCTTTGCTGTGCATTTCTCACCAGTGGGGTGTGGAAACAACCACACAGAAAGACTAGAAGCAAAGAGCTTCCTGTGACAGAGAACTGAAAGGTAAGGACCTGTCTGCACAAACTAAACCCTTCACGCACTCTCAGCATGCCCTGCTGTGCTCTTCATGCACTATTCTAAAAATCTCAGTCTCAGCTTCAGCCAACAAGCTCGTGAGCCCTCTGCAACCCAGAAAGCTTTTCAAAAAATAAACCAGCAATTCAGAAGTTATTTTCCTTCTCCTCCTAGTTGTGTACACGGGATACTGCCAAACTGCGTAGTTCCCATTTCCAAAAGGGAACGTTAGCTCAACGCCACAGAGAAACATAAAAGTACCTTTCTGAAAAACCCCGTGGAAGATGTGGGAGAAATGGAACTCTGCCTCAAAGATTTAATCAGGAACGTAAGAGTAACTTACGAGTAGGAGGGTAGAAACACGTAATAAAAATGAAAACAACCTGTAGTTTTGGCAATGTTCTCCGCAGAGGTCAAATACCAAAAATAGCAAGGGATTTGAACAGCAGTAGATGAAATCTTGCACTGTTCTTTCCTACTACAAACAATGCAAACAGACCCTCCCTTTATTTTCACAATTATTAAAAGTTCAAGAACAAACTCAGAGCAAAACCTGGAGCTCTGGGCAGTGGAAAGCAATTCATGCATGCCACATGACATGTGGTTTGCGTTTTAAACCCAAGAAGGGGAAGAAGTGCAGGGTTGGCTGAGGAGAAGGCACATTAGCACGCTGCACTTCACTAATGCGAGATGCCTTCAGAGACCTCTCCTCACCACCACCACTCCACAGCAGAAGATGGATCAGCCAAATGATCCAAGCACCGAGGGGAAGCACAAAACACCCAGCAGGCACGCGTCGTTTCTGCAGGATATAAACTCCTCTGCTTGGTTTTTGGTGTTTTACCACAGCAGAGAAATCAGGTGTTTCCCCAGCAGACCCACAAAGCCACTGTGAGGCAGAGAGAACAGCATTTTAGTCCATCAAGCAGGAAGGGAAGAAGATGTGCGACAGGCTACGCTAAAGACGTAAGCCAAGATGTAAACTGCCAAGAGAATTATTTCATCCTTTCAAGCCAGTTACATCCAGATTCCAAATGTGAAGCACAGCAAGAAAAAAAACCAACAAAACCTCCATGTAATTTTGCATTCGCAGTACAGAGAGAAATATTACATGAGGAGAACAGAAAGGAGGAAAAAGATAAAACATCGTCACAACGAAGTCTATGGGAAGAGCAAAAAAATTAGGTCTTCCATGAAAACAATTCCTACCCTCCCACCAGGACAGACCTTGGGGGTACAATCCTCTTCAGCAACAGAGAGAAGAGCTGAAGGTGGGACAGAGAACCCAGGAAATAGCCTTAAACAACAGAATTGGCTAGAGGAAAAAAGAGTAAGAGTCAGAATTAGGAGAGAACAAAGGGGAAAAGTCACATTTTTTCAATGCTTTCAGGTTCAATAATGTAAAAAAAAAATTACAACTTTTGTGTACTGTTTTTTTGGGGGGCACAAGCAGATGTTGAATCAAAAAACCTCCTGTTGGAAGATTATACCAGATATCCATACAGAGAGAACACAAAACAACTTTTAGATTTGACCAGGCGTACTTTTAAATGCATAAATCATAAACACTGCACATTGAATATTTTTGTCAAAATAAGACTTTTAAAATTAGTATTTTTGGTGTAAGATTTTGCATTCCAGCTAAAAAGACCTCTTCTGAGGTCTGCATCCAACCCTGGTAAATAGGGTGGAGACAGGAGAGGTTTAGAAAATTTAAGCATGCCTTCAGGTCCAAACTGCAATCAATTAACATTCAAACTTGAATAACTGAAGGCCTATTGTTATAAATTCATGAACTAAAGGGAAGGCAAAGAGCTGCAACAGACCCAGATGACAAGCCATCGTAAGAAAAAATAAAAATAAAAAAATCTAAGTCTAGAACAGTCCAACGTACAATTACAAAAATTCAAACAAGCCAGAAAACACCATACAAAACCGCAAAAATGCTCAAAGTACTAATTTTGACTTCAAATTTAAGTCAAAATTATTAAAGACTGATTTCAGAGAGCTAAACTACCTTCTCTAGAACAATTTTGGAGATTCCAACACAAAACATGGGAAACATAGTTTCTAAGTACTCTAACAAGCTGTATCAAACATGATTTCAAACACGTTTAGGAATTTCCCTTTTTCAATCTTCTCTTTTCACCCAGTTCCGTGCTGGTGGCACTCACCTACTAACCGGGGCGCAGCGAAGTAAGCTCTCTGCCACCAAAATCCCACTCTGCCACGAGCAACTGGATCCAGTGGAGAACTTCCTCGTGAGGGGGAGGTTTCCTAGTAAGGACCTCACCGAGTAGAGGATGTTACTGCATCCAGGTGTTGATGAGGTGGTCATCCAATAAAGGAGACTGCAAAGTAGTAAGAGGATAAGAGATGCTCTATTTTACTCTCCTGGCTATTCTCAGATCAAGCTGCCAGAAGCTGCAGCAAAAGCAATCCTGTTTTATAAAGGCAGATCTGCATGATTCCCAGGGAAAGGTTAAATTACAAAAAGAGAGATTACAGCAGGGACGTCTATCTTCTAAATTCTATATGTTCTCCATTATTTTTGTAAAGAATACTGTATTTAAAAACTGGCTGCAAAAGTTACTTTATGCCCAAATTGCACGCTCCATCCAAACACGTAAACGACAAACTGCATCCTTTGGTGGATCCTACAGAACAGGCAAGAACTGCCAGGAAAACTGTCCCAGAGCTGAACCTCAGCTTTTGCTCTGGAGCAAGTCTCCGAGACGGGAGTCAAATGGAAGGTTTATGCCTGACTTGTACTCCAGCCCAGGATGCTAACAACATACAGGGTGAGGCATCCAGGTCACCTTCTAAAAGCAGGCTAAAACATCTGGAAGTCATGGCCGTTTTGGTGACGCTCTTGCTCTATCGACCACCTCCCCCTGTGATGTGGGAGGTGTCCCTGCCCATGGCAGGGGGGTTGGAACTCAATGATCTTTAAGGTCCCTTCCAAGCCAAACCGTTCTATGATGGGACCCAAGATGTAGGTTAACAACCCCAAAAGGAATGAAAGGTGGACAATGGCACCAACAGCTCCAGAAGACTCCACTCTCCAAGGGCTGTGTAAACATCAATGCTCCCAACTCCAGCAGATGCCAATTCACAGCTTCAGAAGGTGGCACCTTTGTGTCCTGCTGTCTGTCTGTAACGTAACCACGGCTATTCAGCCAACCCGCTGCAAAACTTGAAAAGAATCCAACTCTCAGCCTCTGCCTTTGTGCTTATCAGAGCAGTGACCACAGAAAAGTCATTTCCTTTCTCTTGTGAGCACCTCCCAATGTAGACACCATATTGACGTTACTTTTTGTAACCACAAACGTAGGAAAGAAGATACAGAACTAATCAGTTTCTCAATTACATATGGCAATCAACCGCTGGAAGTCAAACATGTAGGGTACAACATTCTCCTGCGTGTAGTGTTTTCACCATTCTCATTTCCTCAATGTAACCACAATCAGCTAGAAGAAGGGTCATACCTTTCTCTGAACTATCCCTCACACGCCTCCTCAGTAACAGCCTTTTCACTTCTTAAAGGTCAGAACAGCTTGCTGTTTGACTTGGCACCAGAGCTATGCACTAAGATTTTCTCAAAGGTCAGAACAGCTTGCTGTTTGACTTGGCACCAGAGCTATGCACTAAGATGGTCATCTCAGAGATAAGGAAGACAGAAATAAAGCTATTTGTCCGGGCAGATTTGAACAAGACCCCGGCCTACGAACCCTTAGTAGTCCTGATTCTGGCAGAACAGCTTCCTAACTAATTCCCAGCAAGCTGCAACATTCACCCTTTGCTTTCTTAATCAGTGAAACAACGACAGTATTTGCCTAAATTACAATACTTGTGTAATCAAACATTAGTAAGTACAGTCAGCAGCAGCCTTTCGCAAGAAAAAGCCTTGTTCTGAACATCTAGTCTACACGATAAAACGCAGAAGTCACAGTAAGAACGCAATGCACCTGCAAATTCCAGAATCGAAAAGTGCTTCGATGTCCTTTCAAGTTTGGGATTACAACAAAGGACTCCAAGAGGGATGATTTTCAGGGCCATTTGAAGCTGAACAAAACCACCACATGAATGGACAACCCCAATGATCCACCCTACAGAGAACGGTGAAAAGGAAAAATTAGTTATGCAGCTGCATTAATAATTTAGAATAATTTTAATGACGCTGAAATAACACCATTTATTTCCTTCAATTTTGACATTGCCAATTGCTACCAATATCGCCGTATAAAAAACCTTGGAAATAAGTAAGAAGATTCTTCCCAAATATTAATAAATTTTGCTGAAATTCTTCCAAAGAATTTATTTCTACACCACAGGAAGCCTGGGGAATTTCAGCCTAAATTTAGCAGCAACCGTAATAAAAGGATATAAAGAAACTTAGCTACGGCAGGAAAAATAGCTCCTACTACCACACACTGGTGCCAAAATACCTACAATGAGATACAATGTTTTATTTACCAGAATATTTTAGAAATTCGCTCACAACAGCAATTTAGCTTAAGTACACTTTGTTACAAGAGCTCATTCTTCAAAACACGAGAGTATTGTGTTTTCAAAACTCTCTTCTTAAAAACCCATGCTTAAATCAGCTACTACAGTTCTCCCTTCGCTAGGGATGTTGCTGGTGAACTGGTACGATGTTCTCCTACACGTGCCCATGTGGCACCGGGATTTTCCAAATACAACAATACAACATTGCTTGGCAATTTTTAATACTAGGCTAAATCACAGCCTAAGCAACTCTCTACAGTTCCAGATGTTACTGTACAAGCACAAACATCTGTCAAGCCTAAGTGAGGGCAATGACTTCTCCTCATTTTCCTCATTTGCTTCCCCGGGAATATGCAGGTCACTACGGTGTCTTCACCAGTCACACCCTACAATATCCATTTTTGATACTGAGCTAATCCAGAACATCACCCACGTCAAGGTAATTTGCCAGATCGTCTCCAGTACCAAAGCAACAGTGGAAACTGGAGATCCCTGCATGCCCATGACAGTGCACAGACTACCAGTTTCCAAAACACGCTCTTTGTGCACAACCTGACAGCTGGAGGCTCTACTGAGTCCTTAACATGCCCTAAGCTCAATTTTCAATGCTTTGTAGAAGACAAAAGGAAAAGATGTCATCTAAGTGACAACAGGAGGATGGAAGACGTTGAAATAAAGGGATTTAGAACTATGTTGATTCTATCCTGTTAAAGAGAATTTACTTGTCAGTTTCCACAAAAGACGCTAAGGCATCGAGTATGTGCACATCAAACCCATGCGAGGCGCTCTCTTCAGCTCTTTGTTTTCAACAGCCTTTAGACAGCATTTACACTTGAACCATACGCAGCACTCCAGAACTAGCTTCACCACTGCCACACATAGATTAGGAAAAAATAAATCATTTTTTCCCTTTTTAAAACATCCAAGCACACATTGATTTCCCACCGTACTGCACTGGAAGTTCACGTTCAACTGCTTTTCCACTATAAGAGTGATTTAGGACTCAGTCATACGAAATGGAATCGCAAAAAGCAAAGGACAAAAATGCGAAATGGAATCGCAAAAAGCAAAGGACAAAAGAATCAAGGAATGATATGGGGTTGGAAGGGACCTCTGGAGATCCAAACCCCTGCCAGAGCAGGGCCACCCACTGCAGGTCCCACAGGAACGTGTCCAAGCAGGGCTTGAATGTCTCCAGAAAAGGAGACTCCACCACCTCCCTGGGCAGCCTCTGCCAGGGCTCTGCCACCCTCAAAGGAAAGAAGTTCCTCTTCAGGCTTAGGTGGAGCTTCTTATACTCAAGTTTGTGCCCATTTCCTCTTGTCCTGTCCCTGGGCACCACTGAAAAAAGACCAGCCCCATCCTCTTGACACCCTCCCTTGAAGTATTTATAAGCATTGATCAGATCCCCCCTCAGCCTTCTCTTCTCCAGACTAAAAAGCCCCAAGTCCCTCAGCCTCTCCTCGTAGGAGAGATGCTCCAGGCCCCTCATCATCTCTGTAGCCTCTGCTGTCCCCTCTCCAGCAGTTCCCTGTCCTTCTGGAACTGGGGAGCCCAGAACTGGACCCAGTGCTCCAGATGGGGCCTCCCCAGGGCAGAGCAGAGGGGCAGGATGACTCTTTCTGATGCACCTCAGGATGCCATTGGCTTTCTTGGCCACAAGGGCACATTGCTGGTTCATGGGCATCCAATTGTCCAGCAGGATGTCTACCAGAGCAAGTGTGTAGGTATTGATATCTACTGTTTTCTGATCAAGAGACTTCCTGTATGCAGCAACACAGACAATTCCTGCTGGCAAATCACAAGAAAAACTATATGCTTTTGTTAGCACCCACAAATCCCTGAATCCTGGGTGGGGAATTTATTTTTCTGAGATCCACAAAGACCTTTCCAACATCTTCAGCAGACAGCGTTGCCCCAAAACAAGACAAGAATAAAAAGCAAAGTCAAGAGCTTTATGCACTTTAGCAACCCTACTGTCAATGAGTTTGTTCTCAATGCTTTAGTCAATCCATATTTTGCAGGGTCATAGCAGGTTGGCAGCAGGGCTCCTTGCTGAAGCCAATCTCTTGATAATCAAACCGTAATCAAGTGCAGATGAGGACGGGTTAGATGACCCAGGGAATGGACTGTTTATCCTACAAGAAGTAGCTGGGATGCTTTGCCTTGTATAGCTTGGCAAAGGCAGAGACTGCGAGGGGACACGATCACTATCTACAAATACATCAAAGGAATAAACGCTGCGGAGGGAGGGGAGCTACCCAAGAACAATACTGGCACAACAGTTTAAGAGTATAAAAAGACCATAAATAAAATTTAGAGCAGAAATGATAAAGTTTATCTTTCCAAATAGTTTCAAATTAGAACAGCAGGGGCAAAAACTTGGACTGTCTTCACCTACTTTAACAACCTCATCGGCCTGGCACCCACAACTGCCCTCGTACAGCAAAGAACACAAATAGGAAGGCAGACTGAAAAACAAGCAACCACAAGATGAGCTGGCTCATCGTTTCTTTGTGCAGGACACCGCACTGCCAGACAATAGCAAGACACAAGATCAGCTTACTGCAGACTTTCAGCAGCAGTATCAAGACCGTAGTTAGAGGGTATGGACGTGCACAGACAGAATGCAACTTCCAGCTTAAGGCAGCTTCCTCTCCTCCTGCCTCCAAAATTCACAGACAGAAGGGACCTCTGGAGATCATCTAGTCCAACCTCCCTGTGAAGGAGGCTGGACAGGTTTGGAATATCTCTAGAGAAGGAGACTCCACAGCCTCTCTGGGCAGCCTCTTCCAGGGCTCTGCCACCCTCACAGGAAAGAAGTTCCTCCTCAGGTTTAGGTGGAACTTCTTACATTCAAGTTTGTGCCCATTTCCTCTTGTCCTGTCCCTGGGCACCACCGAAAAAAGACCGGCCCCATCCTCCTGACACCGCCCTTTAGATATTTATAAGCACTGATAAGGTCCCCTCTCAGTCTTCTCTTCTCCAGGCTAAACAGATCCAAGTCTCCCTGCCTTTCAAATTATCAGGATAAAAGTCCAAGGGCTTGAGGGTGCCCCTCCAAACAGCCACATCTTTTTGCAAAGACTGCTGTGTGGAAAATGCAACGCCTCCCTCTCAAGTTTGAACGTCTATCAGCCACTGCAACGTAAAACTGAAGATTTTTTTTTGTCCTGCGTCTCCCTGGGCAGCACAAACCCGCCGAAAGGAGGTGGGCTAAGGCAACCTCACGGCCAGTTGGAAGTTCCAAGGGTGTCCGATGGCCAGAAGCTGCTATTTCACACTCAGCCCGCTTGGTGTCACTCATGACCACGGCTCACCAGCAGCTCCATCATTCTTGAGGAGCTACTGGAGTCACGGATTGAGACCACACAGTTCAGAAGGAGACTACTTACCTCTTTTCATTACATCTTTACACTCCTCGGGTAATTTTAATCTGTTACAATAACCCGTCTCCTTAACAAAGTGGCATTCAAGGAAACAAAATCTTAATTTAGAGTGCAAGGCATAGGAAATAAGCCTAAAGTACTGCAAAGGGCACTAGTAAGGCACCAGCATTTTTTGATTCCTGTTAAATCCTTAGATCTTCAAATCATACTATTCATCAAAAATCACAGCCTTCACTTCGAATTTTCTAGCAGCAAAAACTCGAGAAGGAACAAACCCCAAATTCAATTACATTGCAACTTTTTATTTCTGATCTGTCAGAGATTGAAAATAAGTTGCCTGCTCTTTTTCAAAGTCTCATTTTTGTGAACTCAATTCAGAATTTTTGATCTTTCAGACTTCATGGCAATGCAAGCTGCAACTTGTTCTGTGCAACACATGCAGAAGCATACAGGGAACAGGTGACTTTTGTGCATTTGTATTTCACAGAATCACATAGGATTGGGGAAGGGACCTCTGGAGATCAGCTAGTCCAAGCCCCCTATCAAAGCAGGTCCACCCAGAGCAGGTTGCACAAGAACGTGTCCAGGTGGGGTTTGAATGTCTCCAGAGAAGGAGATTCCACCACCTCCCTGGGCAGCCTTCTGCCAGGGCTCTGCCACCCTCACAGCAAAGAAGTTCCTCCTCAGGTTTAGGTGGAACTTCTTACATTCAAGTTTGTGCCCATTTCCTCTTGTCCTGTCCCTGGGCACCACTGAAAAAAGACCAGCCCCATCCTCTTGACACCCTCCCTTGAAGTATTTATAAGCATTGATCAGATCCCCCCTCAGCCTTCTCTTCTCCAGACTAAAAAGCCCCAAGTCCCTCAGCCTCTCCTCGTAGGAGAGATGCTCCAGGCCCCTCATCATCTCTGTAGCCTCTGCTGTCCCCTCTCCAGCAGTTCCCTGTCCTTCTGGAACTGGGGAGCCCAGAACTGGACCCAGTGCTCCAGATGGGGCCTCCCCAGGGCAGAGCAGAGGGGCAGCATGACCTCTCTTGAGCTTTCCTCTTTAAGCATCCAGCAAGCGCCAAGTCCAGAAACACTCATCACTAAATTTTCCCAGGGACAGTGGGGGAGACAAACCAAATCCAACAAGTGAAAACCCCTTCCTCTCTCAATCCATTACACTCACATCTGGCTCCAACGAACACTCCCGAAGCAGGAACATTCAACCCACATACACAGTAATAGTTACCTGAGACATTAAATTAGTTTTACCCTAAATCTATTCTCCCCCCTTTCAAAATTGAGTCATATACTTCCTTGGATACATTGGCAGATATTGAGTAAACTAAAATCAACTCCACTTACTTGAAAAAAACCCTCCACGAACTGTATACAAAACTCAAGTTAGTCAGGTTTGGTAGTAAAAGAGCTGTATGTTTCTAAACAAGAATTTTTGCTTTTACTGCCATCTGCTTTTCCCTTCTGCTTCCACAAAGGAATAGTAACACTTAATTCCAGCTCTCTCAGTCATTCCCATAGCAACAAACATACACATGGGCTTATTTACTAAAAGATCCTCAAATTATTGAAAACTAATCAGCATCTGAACTTTCCTATTCCAGGTACTGCCAGCATCTAACTTCATCTAGCAAGCAGTTTGTCAATTTTAGTTAAATGCTGGGTCGCCATTTCACCAACTTAAGTGCTTCTTTTACATCTTACTTTTAATAGGAAGTCGAATAATAATTTCGCTTAGAAATAAAAGGCATGGGTAAAAAAAAAGAAAGATCCCAGCAGTGATGGCCAGCTGCAGAAAAGGTGCAAGTGAAAAGTTGCTAATCAACTAAAAAAAAATAAAATTAAAAAGCATGAAGGTTCTGCTGAAGGAAAAAAAAAAACACAAAACATGTCAGCAGTGGCTACAGGTGCTAACAATATGTTCATTCATCCATCTAAAAGCAAAGTGAAATTGCAATTGAAAAACACTCAACACTTTCAAATTTAATTGCTACTATACACAAGCACACTATAACAAAAAAGTAATTTTACTTCAAAAATATTTTTTTTTAATTGTGTTAGTTTAATCCAGCAAAAGAACTATGAGTGGCTTAACGCATCTGGTTTTACACAGGTAAGATTCACTTGTTATATTAAATGAAGGATTTCCAGAACCTGTTAGTTTTAATTTTTTCATTAGCTGGAAAACTAGGAACTAAAGAAAAATAAAGTGCCTTTATAAGGCCACAGTGAAGTCTTACATAAAACAAGTCTCAAAAAGGAAAACAATAAGGACTATGTTTTAAAATATTTTAATTCCTTTATCTGTTGCAACTTTTAGTCTGAAACTATTAAGACCACCAAAAAACATTTCCAACACCACAAATAGTGTAATAAAAATAATAACAAAACTCTGAGAATATTAACAGTCTGCAAGAAGTGCCTTCGGATTAATGTGAAAAAGGGGAGATAAATTTATGTCCAGTCTCTAAAGGGTATAAACAAGAGCACAGATGGTTTGTCTTGCAAAGGCTGAGAGAGCTGGGACTCTCTAGCCTGGAGAAGAGAAGGCTGAGGGGAGACCTTAGTCATACTGACAAGGATCTAAAGGGTGGGTTGAGGGAGGATGGAGCTGGACTCTTTTCAGTGGTTCCCAGGGACAGGACAAGGGGCAACGGGCACGAGCTGGACCATGGGAAGTTCCACTCAGATCTGAGGAAGAACTTCTTTGGGGTGAGGGTGGCAGAGCCCTGGAAGAGGCTGCCCAGGGAGGGTGTGGAGTCCCCATCTCTGGAGATCTTCAAGCCCCACCTGGATGCTCCTGAGTGATGTGCTCTGGGCAGCCCTGCTTTGGCAGGGAGTTGGGCTGGATGGTCTCTAGAAGGTCCCTTCCGACTCTGACAATTCCGTGATTCCGTGACCACCATCCTCTCCCACCACAAATTCCACAGGGGCAATCCCTGCCAAACCCACTGGAGCCCCCCCCCCCTCCCAACCTCAACAGAGGGGACCCCCCTCCCACAACAACCCTCCACAGAGGGCACCCCTACTCCACAGACACCATACCCCCCCAGAACGACCGTCCCGCCCCATCCTCCCCACAGCAACACCCACAGGACAGACTCTGCCCTGCCCGCGGCGGCCCTTACCCCACCCCAGCCCCCTCAGGCGTCCCCACCCCGGGGGTAGTTGCCCCGGCCCGGCCCAGCCTCCCCAGACGTCCCTACCCCGGGGGTACTTACCCCGGCACCCCGGGGGGGGCCTTACCCCGGGGGTCTCTGCCCCGGTCCCTCAGAGCCACCCTCTCCCCCCGCCCCGCCGCACACCACGGCCGGCCGCCACCGCGTGCGCACCTACAAGCCCCACCCCCTGAACCCTCCCCAGCCACCCCATTGGCTGCTTGGCAGCATCGCCGGCCGCCATCTTACCTTTCCTTGGCGGCAGGGGAAGGGGATTGGTGCAGGCGGCGGCGGAGGGGGCGGGACCCACCGTTGCCACGGCAGCGGGGAGCCCGCCTTCCCTGCTGAGGCGGCGGCGGCCATTAACCGGCCGTGAGGGGAAGGAGAGGCCGGCGCCGCCTGGCGCGGAAGAGGCGCCCAGCTGGGCCGCCAGCCCCGGGGGAAGGGGGTGCCAGGCCGCGGCCTGCAACTTCCGACGGGCTGCCGGCGGCCAGCAGGGCCTCCCGGCTGGAGCCGTGCCCAGTCTCGGGCACCGCTCGGGGTCGTTTGGCGCCCTGCCCCTGGGAAGCGCAAAAAGAAAATGATCTCATCTTCGACCGAGCAGAGTTCAAAAGAGTCACCCAAAAAGCCTAGCGAGCAAACAGAGAGTTTGCTCTGTGGCACACGAGGTCAGATTTGGTCAAATGGAAGGACAGGGAAGTGCTGGAGAGGGGACAGCAGAGGCCTACAGAGACGATGAGGGGCCTGGAGCATCTCTCTGATGAGGAGAGGCTGAGGGACTTGGGGCTTTTTAGTCTGGAGAAGGCTGAGGGGGGGATCTGATCAATGCTTCTAAATACTTCAAGGGAGGGTGTCAAAAGGATGGGGCTGGTCTTTTTTCAGTGGTGCCCAGGGACAGGACAAGAGGAAATGGGCACAAACTTGAATGGAAGAAGTTCCACCTAAACCTGAGGAGGAACTTCTTTGCTGTGAGGGTGGCAGAGCCCTGGCAGAGGCTGCCCAGGGAGGTGGTGGAGTCTCCTTCTCTGGAGACGTTCCAAACCCGCCTGGACACGTTCCTGTGGGACCTGCTGTGGGTGGCCCTGCTTTGGCAGGGGGTTGGACTGGATGATCTCCAGAGGTCCCTTCCAACCCCATGTGATTCTGTGACTGAATTTTCCTTTATAACTTTTCAGCTGCAAAACTGACAAGTGTCCAAAATGTAATACCTTTCAAGAAGCCAGGAAATGCCAGGCTGGTGGGGTTCCAGAAGGTTACGCACAAGTCCCTTGGCTCCCACCGGTGTCCCTGGAGCTGTGCTGGTGTCCTGCATCGAGCTGCCATGCTCCAGGAAAGCAGGAACGGAGGGAAGGATAATTTCCTGGGAGGGATCCAAGCAAGAAGAGAGACAGGAAGGTTAATTAGGTTTCCCTTCAGCTTCCTGCTGCATTTTTCCAGACCCTTATTTTTTTCCAATTTACGTTCCAAACAGTAATTTTTTTACTTACAATTAAATAGGCCAGCACATACAGGTTATTAGAAGAAGGATAGCATACTTTACAATTGCTTCTTTAATATTGCCCAAAGTGCTAGAATTCAAAATCCTTTGTTCTATTCTTAATTTACTGTTCTTCACTGAAGCATGTTTCGCCCCATTTGCAGAGTGTTGTGTGACTAATCTCAGGTGGCTGTTACTCAGTGAGAGAAGTAATTCGTACCTTTGTTTTTGTCCAAGCTGAAATCAGATCTGTGGTCTTTTAGCTAAATGATAGAATTGCTTTGGTTGGAAGGGTCCTTTCAGATCACCAAGTCCAGCCATATTTTCTGATGAATGCAGTTAAGTCGTGGTAAACAGTACTACCAATATCATAGATAAATAAGTAAATTATTTCAAGAAGTATTTTTACACATGAAAATACTTTCATGAGTTTTAAGTATCCACTGCCATTTTTTAAATTAAGATCTAAACATTTGAGCTCAGTGTATATTTTTCTAGCTAGATAAAAAAGAGCTGTATCTAAACCCAATAACGTGGTCGATTCACATGGGTAATAACCAAAGAACATTATAAAAACCTGGCTTATATCTCAGTTTAATGGCCTTCTTACCTCTGATGTATAACAAAGGCAGAAAGTCAATCAAAAGATACTTCAAAGGACTGACAATTTCAGTTGCCTGCCACTAGTAGCGTGCAAAACTTTAATTCATTCTACATGCTCCAGCATAACTATTGTTATTTTTATAACTGCAGCTATTTATGTACCTACCGGTGCAATAATCTTTCAGTGAGAATACTCTTCCCTGTGATGGCTCTACAATACCATGAGACAATCAACTTTCACAGGTACATTGATGATTCACCTACATTTCAGCTTAAAGTCTGCCTGCTAAATGGTTTATTAGGACCAGATGTTAACGTAGCTATTTGTATTCACAGAATCACAGGATGATTTGGGGTTGGAGGGGACCTCAGGAAATCATCTAGTCCAACCCCCTGCCAAAGCAGGGCCACCCACAGCAGGTCCCTCAGGAACGTGTCCAGGCAGGTTTGAATGTCTCCAGAGAAGGAGACCCCACCACCTCCCTGGGCAGCCTCTGCCAGGGCTCTGCCACCCTCACAGCAAAGAAGTTCCTCCTCAGGTTTAGGTGGAACTTCTTCCATTCAAGTTTGTGCCCATTTCCTCTTGTCCTGTCCCTGGGCACCACTGAAAAAAGACCAGCCCCGTCCTCTTGACACCCTCCCTTGAAGTATTTATAAGCATTGATCAGATCCCCCCTCAGCTTTCTCCAGTCTAAAACGACCCAAGTCCCTCAGCCTCTCCTTGTAAGGGAGACGCTCCAGGCCCCTCATCATCTCTGTAGCCCTCTGCTGTCCCCTCTCCAGCAGTTCCCTGTCCTTCTGGAACTGGGGAGCCCAGAACTGGACCCAGTGCTCCAGATGGGGCCTCCCCAGGGCAGAGCAAAGGGGCAGGATGACCTCTCTCCACCTGCTGGAGTCACAGGAATCGCAGGAATCACTTGCTGGAATCGCTCACAGAAGCCCATCAGCCAAGCAGGTATCACAGAAGCCAGACTGATTCACCAACTGCTGTGAAAAAGTGCCCTTTTTTGTTTTTTGGGTTTTTTTTTTTGTTTCTTTTTGCTTCTTAACAATTATTTTGAGGGCAGGTTTTTTCCAGCATGGTGCATTGAAGATAGAAAAACGTCCAAGCTCATGACATCAAAGCACAAAGACCTACAGTACATAGTGTTTTCACAGTAAATCCCTTCCACCATTGTTGTCAGCCTGGTCCTGCTGAAGTTTATCACCCAGGACTAATCACTGCTCAGATTCCTGAGAGTTGTTCAGAAAATTTCAAAACCAGGATGTATTACGATTTCATCGAAGACAATATTGAATTTAACAGGGTATACATTACAGTACTGAAAGCTGTGTTGCAAATGTCATTATTACAATGAGAAATACTTTAGGTTAGTAGTTTTTCCTCTAGAGTTTCTCGGGTGGCTGGTATGGCCTCAAATTCAACAAATACCTTCTGTTCATTGTTCACGTAGCATAAACAGCTGCGAGATCAATTGGAGTGACATAATTCCACAGCCACGGAGTTGGTATTCAGTTCCCTGGTGACTCCAGCTCTATTAACAGAAAGTACAGTTTTCTTGCCGGCACACCGACGCTGCTGACTCACAGCGCGTATTGGCTGGAAACACATCTGTGCATTCACTACAGGAATTGCATGGCAGTTGCTCCGGGAGATCGCTCGTATCTCTCGACAGTTATTTTACAGACAGAACTTAAAACAAAAGACATTTTTAGAACGGAATCTTTACCATCCCCACCTTAGAAGAAAGTGAAGCAGTCTAAACAAATCTGAGTTTCGGTGTCGTGTACTCTAGGACTGACATCAAGTGCTCAAACAGCAAGTTCTCTAGAACAAGGATTTTTTGCTGTGTGTTTGCGTAATGCCCCAACCTGTGTTGTGACATAACTGTCCCTGAGTATAGTCAGCAACTTCTGGGAGCTACCTTAACATATCATAAATATTTTTTGCTTTTTTGGGGGGTTGTTTTATTTTTTAATGTTTTTGCGCTTAGGTTGCATTGTGTTAAATGCAGGTGGGTGAGAAGTGTTTCACCCCCCTCCTGGCAAAATTAAGTTAAAAAAAGGGAGAGGGAGTGAAAGGACCACTAATTTATTAATTTTAGAGTCATTTTATGTATAGCACTCAAAGCAGAGAAAGAAATTAGAGTAACTAGATGGAGTTGGAATTACTTTTTCTAAGATGCCCTTTCGTAAATAACATTCACAGGGCTTGATAATTATGCACGTTGCTTCTTATCAAATCAAGCAGTTGTACCCCAGCTACTTGGCTGTCTATCTAGTACGTCACAGTTATTTACGTAGCAGTATATTTTGGCCACCTATGCCATCTTTTACAGTAAAATGATTTCTAGTGAACTCGTATATGCGTGGAGATGAAGTGTTACATACATTGAATGTAATTCCATCAGCAGCTTCCTGCAGCTGAAGTAGTAGAGGGTAATGCGATTTGCTGGAGAAAGAGGGGTTTACTTTGAACATCTTTAAAAGTTTCGGCTCGTTGGATTGTTCAACTTTTCAGTTCTCGTCTGTTTGTTGAGGGGGGAAGAATTGGCAAACTTCTCTCCATCACTTTTTGCAATTCTATCTGCAGAACTTGACCCAAAACGTAGAAATGAGGCAAATTTATTATGACTGATGATTAGCAAGTTCCTGGATTTACCAAAGGTACTTTCACACTCATTTGCCACTTAGTGCTAAAGAAGCTCTTAAACCAAAATCAAATGTTGATTAAATCACATAGTCTAATTACACAGTGCAATAAAAGGATGTTTTGATTGCAAAGTCAAGTTGTTGGATAAGGACACAATTTTTTAGAGGTCATCTCAGAGTTAACAGCTTATGACTTCAGAGAACCTAAGCTAACTTCCCACATCCTGCAGTAGGAGAACTGTGTCCGTTATCTCTTCACTGCAGGAATTCTTAATTTTAATAATGCTTCTGTCAGTAACAATGCTCACAGTTTCTCCTGACCTGCACAAGGTGCCAGTTTAGGATTTTATATTTGATCCTGTTGAATGCAGAAAATGAGGCCGTGCTCTCTGGG